CCAATAGTGAGAATGTCTGTTTTCTTGATGTTGAGATGCAATCCATATTGAAGGGTGCATTGTTTGATTTTCTGTAGCGTGTACTTTAAGTCCTCCTCACTTTGAACAGGCAAGGTTGTGTCGTCCGCATAACGTTGAGTCTTCCACTGATCCTGATGCTATATTTGTCTTCGTAAAATCCACCTTCTCCAATAATTTGCACAGCATACAGATTGAATAGGTATGGAGAAAGGATACACTTCTTATCCTTACATGCATATGAAGCAATTGAAAATACCATTTTCTACAATAGTTTCACTTTTAAAAAATGTGTTTAATTGATTGTTTTATTCTCTTCTACTAGCCTGTAAAATAAACATACTCGAAATTTTAAAAAAAAGTACCATTTTCTGGCTTCAATCAGGCACACCTTAGTTTTTAAACTGACATTAGCACTTTAAAGAGGTTTTTGGTAGCAGATTAGTCCAGTGCGATATGTTGTGTGCATTTTTGACTGCTGTTTCCTTGGGTAGCGATTGTGGATCTAAGTAAAAGGGAAATATTTGGCAACTTCAGTCTTTTTTCCATTTATCATGGTATTGCTTATTAGTTTAATTATGAAGATTTCTTTTTGTTTATGATGAGGTGAAATCCAACCTGAAGGCTTAGTTTCTGGGGGCTCATCAATATGTTTTTTTGTGTCTTCATTTTTGGCAGGCAAATTTGTGCCATTTACATAATGTTTGTTATAATGCATATATGTATACTATAATTACATAAAACTTATTGCCCCATCTTTTTGCAGTCAGTTTTTTAAAATTTGACTGCAGTCGTTTAGCTTATTCAGATTCTCTGTATGCTCTCTAATACAATACAGAGTAACTCTCCAGGTGGGCCGGAGATGGAGGTTAGGGTTTTCTGAAGACTTCTCAAATTGGACTTGTAAAAGAATTAGTCTTTTTTTGTTGCATTCCTATCTTCTCCAGTTGGAGATCACTGCAGAAGGAACCGTGTTATTGCTACATGTTATAACTCCAAAGTGTTTTTAAAGTTAAAAAAAAAAGAATCCTGAGAACCATTCCTCAAGTCAGTGTAATAAATTTCAGCCTTCCAAAGTTTTTCAAACTTGTCTAACTTTCAACTGTGCTTCTCTATAAATATTTCTCTCTAGGTAACCTTCACTTTTTTATAGATGTGCTTTAGCTCTTGCAGATTTCTGTCTAAAAATAATGCCTCCTCTCCCCCTATCTCTGCATCCTCCCATCCTTCAAGACTTGGCATAAATATCACCTTCCACTTGAAGCATCCTGTGATTACCAGACTTTAATGCATTTTATTCCTTCAGTGAACTCTTTCATATGACTCTTGGCTACTGTTTGCATTTTAGCTGGTTATTTTCATAATCCTTTTAAATTTGTTTAAAGTGTCTATTTTTTTCCACATTTTAGTATCATATTAGAATGTACCTTAGAGTTGATGTCCTTCCACTCTCTCTCATTCTCTCAAATGCAGCAGAGTCTATACTAATTAAGCTGATCGTCCAGTGGGTTTTCAGAGGCTGTAAATCACACAGGGAGAGATTGATCATCTTTATCCTATGGAGAAGCGTGGTTGATAACGTAGTTTTATTATTCCCCCTTTTTGTTATGTGCCATTGAGTCAGAACTAATAACTGACCCTTCAGTGGGGATTTTCAAAGGTTGTAAATTGCATAGGAGGATTGCCCATTTTTCTCTTGCAGAGAAACTGGGCATTCGAACGACCTATCTTTGGATTGGTACTACAATTCTACCCATTAGCCACCAGAACTCCCTATTCCCTTCTTGTTGTTGAGTACCATTGAGTCAGAACTCACCCATAGCTGACCCTCCAGCAGGTTTTCAGAGGCAGTGAATTGCGTGGGAAAAGATTGCTTATCTTTCTCCCACATAGAAGCTGGTTTATTTGAACCAACAAGCTTGGAAGCAGGAGTGGCATCCACTTCTGAAATAGCCTGCCTCCAGAAACCCTATGAACTTAGAGAAACAATGAAAGTTACACA